TTATTTGAGGTATTAATTTTCTATAATTCAGTTGCCTCAAATAACAAGCTGTAATATATGATGACTATTATATTCGCTGACTATGAATAATATTACTCATTTTTAAAAGTACTACGACGTTCATTCCCGATATAACTTGTGAATAGTATAACAAGTGCAACTTTTTTAATTATCCTAATTTAATATTCTAAAATTACATCGTCTATGCAAAAATCATACGATCTACAAGGACTAACAACATACTACCATTACTTATTGTAAAAATTGTTAACATGTGTTATTCAGGTCAATCTGCGTATTATCGCTCTTTCAAATTTTAATTTTTATATAAAAACTTTACTTTTAAATGACTTACTAAGTTATGTGTACAACTTTTATTGACAAGTTTTGTGTTGTCAAAATTGACAATTTTTAAAAAAGATGAATGTGATGCTATCAATGATGAAATTGTTGATCAAATTTGCATACGTAGCATGATTCAAATTTACATTACCAAATCAAACATGAAATGAGTTTCAATTTTCTCATAGTTATCCCCTAATAACACACAAAAGGCCAAAACCCCTATTTACAAGGACTCCCCCCTATTTACAAGGACTCCCCCATCCCCACGCCCGCGCCACCGTTGCTTCTATCTTTACCCACTCACTGAAACTCACAGTATAAAAATGTTGCTTCCAACCAAACAAATCCACCCACATTCTCACTCTTCTCTACTTTCTCTCGCTAACAAAATGCAATTCATTCTCCTCCCTCTGTTCCTAATTTTCACTGTAAGAATTTGTTCTTGATATTGAATCTTTTGTTAGCTGTATATTGTGATTATGTTTGGCTTAATTTAAATGAGTGAATGTATTGTGACTGCAGGTGAGAGTGGCGGCCGGCGGCGAGAGTTCCAGTGCGGGAGAAAACCCATTTACGCCGAAGGGTTATGTGATACGTTACTGGAAGAAACAAATCTCTAATGATTTGCCAAAGCCATTGTTTTTACTCAATAAAGCTTCACCGTTGGACTCTGTGCAATTTGCGGCTATTTCTAAACTAGCTGATCAGAACTCACTTTCAACTCATCTCCCCGAGTTCTGCGCCAAGGCTAATCTCCTCTGCTTTCCCGATTTAACGTCGAGCCTTGAGAAGCACGACGGGAATGTGAACTTTGCTGCTTACAACGACAGGAATTTCACAAACTATGGCACGGGTCGACTCGGCGGGGTTGACTCATTTAAGAGCTACTCCGACGGGGAAAATATTCCTGCGAATACTTTCCGGCGGTATAGCCGTGACTCCGCCGGACATAACGACAAATTCAATAGTTACGCAAACAATGGTAATGTGCCGGACGAAAGCTTCAACACGTACGGTACCACCGCGACTGGCGGCGTTGGCGACTTCAGCAACTACAACCACGATGTCAATGTTCCTAATCTCCGTTTCACTTCTTATTCCGACAACGGCAATGGCAGGGAACAAACTTTCACTTCTTATTCCGAAGACGGAAATTCTGGCGATCAAAAATTCACCAACTATGGCAAAAACGCCAATGGCGCCGCCAATGCCTTCACCAGCTACGGCAAAGAGTCGAACGTGATTGGCTCAACCTTCACCAATTACGGTCAAAGCGGCAATGGCGCAAATGACAGTTTCACTTCATACGGAACTAATACAAATGTCCCGGAGAACACATTCAAGAATTACGGCACTGACGGCAATCTTCCAGTGGAGATTTTCAAGAGTTACAGAGACCATTCCAGTGTCGGAGATGACAATTTTCAAACCTATGGCAAGGGTTCCAATGATGCAACTGTGGATTTTGAGAATTATGGGCAATCATTCAATGAAGGCACCGATAAATTCAATAGTTATGGCAAAGATACTTTTGGTGAGACAGTTGGGTTCAAAATTTATGGAGTCAATAATACCTTCAAGGAGTATACGAAAAATGGTGTCACATTTGCTCGTTATAACGAAAGTACCACGGCGGCGGGGCCGACATCGGCCACTTTGGCGGCTGAGAGTGGCAAAAAGGTAAATAAGTGGGTTGAGCCAGGCAAATTCTTCAGAGAAGAGATGTTGAAAGGTGGGAATGTGATGCCTATACCCGACATACGGGATAAAATGCCTAAAAGGTCGTTTTTGCCCCGGGCAATCTTGTCGAAATTACCCTTTTCGACCTCCAAGCTTGGAGAATTGAAGAAAATTTTCCACGCAGGTGCTGACGATTCTAGCATGGCTAAAATGTTGGCTAATTCACTGAGCGAGTGTGAACGAGCCCCGAGCCCCGGTGAGACGAAGCGGTGTGTGGCCTCAATTGAGGACATGATCGACTTTGCGACCTCCGTGCTAGGGCGGAACGTGGTAGTCCGGACAACTGAAAACACTCGAGGGTATAATAGTAACATCATAATCGGGAAAGTCAAAGGGATCAATGGTGGAAAAGTCACACAGTCAGTGTCTTGCCATCAGAGTCTATTCCCATACTTGCTCTATTACTGCCATTCAGTTCCCAAAGTCCGGGTCTACGAAGCAGATATTTTGGATCCGAATTCTAAGTCCAAGATTAATCATGGTGTTGCCATTTGTCATTTGGATACCTCTTCTTGGAGCGCCGATCATGGAGCCTTCATTGCATTGGGTTCGGTTCCGGGTAAGATTGAAGTTTGCCACTGGATCTTTGAGAATGATATGACTTGGACAATTGGTGATTGAATTCGGAGCCCCGTTTTGTAATTCGGATTTGAACCAGTTGTGTTACGTAAAGAAGAACCACTGGTTTAAATATTACCCCTCCCAAGTTCAAATTTGAATAGTAATTTGTTAATGTTGTATGTTTATGTCAAGTTTACTAAGAATTCAATTACAAATAGATGAGTCCATCGCCTCTTGCCCTTGAGCCTACATTTTGCTTCTTTGCATTCATCGTCTTTCGTGGATGATGTTCGGTTCACCTAGCAAGTCAGTTCATGTTCGTGGATGATGTTAGCCGAGCATGAGCTGGCTTGCTTCACAAAACCTCATAGGAGCCACTAGCGACTCGTCATTCCTTTTTAAACTAAAAATTATATTTTCTAACAAGATATTCGTTGCTCATTTGTGGGGTGAATCGAAAACAGCGAGCGTAAGTTTATATAACTACATGCATTATACTCGATTATCTTTCACATAAAGTCCTAAAAGTTATTGAAGTTAATAAATGAGTAAATTATTGATTTATAGACTAAATGCTTGATTGGGTTACGGACGGACATTTTACAACTGAAATTCGAAAAATGAGAAAATTTTAGAATGGAAAGGGTTGATGCTAGTGAAGGGTAATTGAAAGGGGAAGAAATGAACGGAGAAAAAGTCGAAGGGAAAAAACAGTTGAGAAATGAAAAGAGGGCATATAATGTGCACTCAAACGAGATGAATAGTCACATGTAAGTAGAACTTACGCGGCAACAATTAGGTGGTCCTCAATAGTATCCTCCTTTATGTACGGTGATAAATCCATTTTCCAACTGTTCTTGCCCCACTACATTTTTTTAATTAATAATATTATTATTATTATTATTATTAACAATAGTAATTCATAAAGAATTGATTAATTCTTAATTTTAAGAAAGTTACATAGTATGTTTGATATATCATAACGGAGAAATTATTTAGGACACCAGTCATGTAGAGATTGAATTAGCGAGTGAGGAGGACAGCCATACTTTAATTACGACCATGTTGCATTAGGAGTGGACGTTGTCGTGCCATGTAAGGGGAGGAAGGCTTACCTTGATGACACTACATACATATGAGGGGGTAGGGGTGGGCAAATTACTTGTCCAACCGATCAAACGCCAAACAACTCGACTCGAGTTGGTTTGGACGGATTTGGAGGGATGTCCATTTGATTATCGGGTTGATCCAAAAACTCGATTCGAGGGATCAAGTTTTAAAAACAAATGATTTCCAAAATTTCATTAAACTTGACAAACTGAACCAACCTAAATCGACTCGTGTTGGTTTAGGTTGCTTTATTCCTCTTCTCAGTTTGATTTTGGGTTGGACAACTCAATTTGAACTGTTGACTCAGTTATCATGATGGATCCGAACTGGATTTGAGCCTACCCTCTAATGAGGGGTAACTTGATTGTTGTCGGGTGATCCATGACAAGTGGAATTGAGGGAGGTGGAAGTTTTTTCCAATTTTCCCCTCCCTTGTGTGCACTGGCGGACCAACGGTGGGCCATGATAGACCACATGACCCACCAACTTTCAACTTAAAATTTATTATTAAAATAATTATTAAAAAGTTTAGGTTTATATATCATTAATCACCAGATGCATGTAAGGCTGCATAAAAATAAAAAAATAAAAAATCAGCAGCTCTTTTGTGTTCAATTCATCATCACATTGTTTTCGCTAAACATTTAATAAGATGTATTCAGGCACAATGATTCGAATAACAAAAACAGTCTAATGAAAGAGAACAAAATTAAGAAAAAGAGATACTTCATAAGCATTTTGAAGTTTCTTGAAAGCTTCTGCAGCCTTTTCATTTTCCATTTTTTTATCTGCATGGACAAGCATTGCCTAATAACCACGAACAAATGTACCCACTAACTCAAAATATCTGCATCTGTCACTGCTTATGTGTACATTGGCTTTTGTTCCCTACAATATAAGAAGTGGTAAAGTTGCATCTATGAATATCATCTATTCGGAAATTAATTTATTATGAGCTTGAAAGATTGGAATAGTTTTTGCCAACAGTAGTACAAGTCATTTAGGTTGTAAACCATAGTAATAATCAAAGAAAAGAAAATAGTAACAAATGCAAACTTGATGTTGCTGATGTCTATACAGGGTTAGGTTAGAACTAACCAACAAATTCATAATACTAATAATTTGGTTATGATTGGAGTCTTCATCAATAGAAACCTAGTGATATTGCTGATGCATACTCAAACTATATTAAATAGAATTAAGAACATAAAATATTTATGGGAAGTTTATCTTAATTATCTATAGATTGTCTCTTTAAAACCAACAACACTAATTTAACCAACTAAAGAAAAATATTAATGAAAACAAACCAAAAAGGGCCCCAATCTATATTATTTCTACTTTTTGTAAAGTTTCTTTCATCTCGACCAAGCTCAGTCAAATATTCAAGTTGATGAATGACATGTACTCGATCATAATGGAGAGTTCAACTTTAAAGTAGTTGTTCTAGGACTAACTTTTTGTTTTTGTAAAATGCGTCTATCTTTTAGGTCAATTGGTAGGCGATAAGTTAAATAAACAAAGGGTATTTTTGAAATTACGATATTTAAACTAAAATAGAAGATTTTCTTGAAAAATAAAATTGAAAAGTGACCATTTTTAGTTCCCTCCATCCATAATAAAGTAATGTTGCAATTGATAAACAACTGGAAGGCACTTAATCACTCCTTAATGTGTGTGTGTTTTTTTTTAACTAGAATAATGTATTTACTCTTATTCGATTTTGGTATATTTTAGTGTTTTTATGCATCCTAAACATTAATTCTCATTTCCATTTATAATCAAATAATTATCCACCAACATGTTTATTGCAAAAGCTTGCTCCACGATCTTTGAATCGATGATTTTCGGGCTCAATTTCATGTTATCTTTCTCCACCAACAATCA